TCAGTCATGAGAGATGAGAGCGCATGATTTTCCTAACTGCGGATGGCGTGTTGCCGTAGGAAAACGTGCCTGCCAATAGTGTTTCAGTTTCTGAATGATTTTGAGAGCTTCATGAGATTTTTAAATGGTCATAACCATTACTCCTGAGTCAACACAGTCTGCCAACACGGTCTGTGTTCAGTATCACCAACGAATAGAAAATTTGTGCAGAAGGCTGGCAAGAAGTGGGTTGAATTCATCAACCGAGCAAAGATAGTGCATTGTCACATACATATATACAAAGTAAAAATTTTAGATTTAAGAATTTTACCTGAAAATAACTTACAAAATCCATAAGACACCACTATATGTCATACTCCATCACTTCCACACTTCTCACCTCACCTTTCCATCTTCTCTACCTTCGTGTCTGTCTCATTTACAACTGCGGATCACTCTTCTCTTCCCCCCCCCTCCCACATCCCCTACCCCTTCTCCTTCCCAACTCAGTGAATTCCAACGCCTAATTATGGGCCAATGATAACTTTCCTAATAAACCTGTCATTTAGCATTAATACAAAGTTTTATTACCTCATGTGGGTGCGAAAAGACACCGAGACTTTCCTTTCAATATAGCTAACAAGACAGCGATGATATTCTTTACTGACCATCCTTCCAATTTGCTTCTTCCCTACACTTTCCTCTTAACGTAACACCTTTCGACTGTTTGCAATTCGGATATAAACAAATTTCTTTCTTAACCTTAATCAGCTAAATTTTCCTCTATCAATATTGTTTAAAGGATGATTTTTCTAAGCAGGGCTAATGCCTTAGGTAGAAAACCCTTATACTCTAAGCGGGAATTTCGAAAGAGCACATCAACTTTGCATAATCATCTCATTCATTAACCAATAGAATTTGCAGATGGTGAGACAACCAATCAGAGACAAGGAATGTAAGCAGCACGCATATAAATAGGTTGTAAAAAAACGCTGCAACTGTGTCGAAGTGAGTAGCAATGCCTCATCGCGCTTCTCATTATTTCTCCTTAGATACTTTGCTAGCTCCACTACCGTGGACTTTGTTGGAAATCCTTTGTAAACTGGACAGGCATTACCGCGAGAGGAAAATTAGGTGCCGTTTAGTATACGAAGATAGAGAACCAATCTTTCTTGGCGTCAATGTAGGTTATTCGTGCAAGTGTTTAAATTTACTTTATTTTTGTTCGTTTTAGCTCCTCGAGGCGAGGGGAATTGCTTATTGCGATCTTCGTGACTTACTTTTGTGTTTGTTCGTCAATAACATACTAAAGCCTTTGTTCGGGGAACACGGTGTCGATGATATTACTATGGCTCTAACCGTCTTAAACTTACTTGAACCGAATTCTAATAGTCATTGCACTATACCATCTATAATGCAGCCGCCTACTGTCATGACAGATGGTTTAATAACGATTCCCTATGATCCTGTATGTGCAAGTCCTTACGTTCACAATAACGCAGATTCGACTACTCGCTTTCGTCCACAATAATTTTCCATCTTCCTCCATGACTGTGAAATACCCCCATGTATATGAAGTCTATCTGCATTTTATTTGAACTACTAAACCAATGTCTAAAGTACAATATCAAATGAGTTAAGTAAATTTCATTGTTGGCGACTTTACGTCTTTCCTATTTTTCATTACCCTTTTAAATTTCGTTAGAAACATTAAGATTTGGCCATTGAAATTGAAATTCCAGAATTCATTTACCACGGAAACGTTCTCAAGTTGAGAGTTATTGGAAAATACTGAGGTATTAGAGGGTGCTTTAAAGTTGGAACTGCCGTCTGATACCTCGACTTGAATAGTGACCTGGGCAATATTTGTGCTATGGTATTTCCCAATTTCTACTTAACTAGTGGGCATAACTCGCGATACTGAATTCCCATATTTTGCCAGGTTGATAACCCTTCTGTTGTTGTGAGGCAATTTCTCTGAAACAGACTGAAAAGTAGACGTGATGGATGTCCACTTTCTAAGTGAATGATGGAAAATGAAGTGTTTCGTGATCAGAAATAACTACTGCGGCATAGACTCAGTTTGTGGGTACTGAATACTCGCTTTGCCATCACGTATTCGTCTTTAATTAGTTATGGGCAACTTTAGTGTCAACGATCCTCAACAAATCGACTTTCGTATTAAAACTACGCTTTTTATTAAATTATTGAATTGAATTAAATCTTATGACCACATACCATTTTTAAAAACTTCATCAAATTCATTTAAAATGATGTGCGTTATAGGAGACACAGAACATGGTCATCTACAATTGTCAATTTCCATAAATATTAGAAAATTAATCAAGACGCAAAGTTCTACCATGAACTCATTCATTTCATCTCTCCATGATATTAGTTTTTCACTAAGGATTACAGCCATGGTCATATTTCACTTGCAAGCGAATACATGGCTTGCATATTTTCTTAGAAGAGATGTGAGGGACTTGGTCTACAAGAGGATAAAACGCCTATATTTCCCACCAACCGCATTTAGCCAAACGCAAACTCTTGTCTATCCTAATAGGCTAACGCAATGTAATGCGTTTGCCTGTGATTGGTGCACCGGGATGCAATATTTCCTGCCTAACTTTATCTCTTCACGAGCTACCATGTTCAGCAGGAGATAAATAAATGTGACGCTAGAGGAGTGACTTGTTGACTTTTGAAGAAACCGAATATTGGTGACGATAGAATTAAATGTTAATAAAGCAATCGATTCGAGTTTAATCATTCCGAGGTTAGATAAGTGAAAAAATTAAATAAGGTTGGAGGAGGTTGTAGGCAAAGAAGGATTGAAGCATATTTTATATATATATATATATATATATATATATATATTGACGCATCATTGAATTGATGCTTCTAGATGCGAGCCATTAATGCCAGTGGCATAGCGGTCAGGTTGGACGTCCCCCACATTAGGTTATGCAAACCTATCGGTTCATATTGATACTCAGAGAAATATTTGAAAGACCTCGGTTTGATTACCTCCAAATAATAATTCTGATTTGTCTGGTGGTTCTTTTCCACACTGTGAAATACGAAGTCAACTAAATTTCTAAAAGTAATACTCATAACGCCTGCCATTTGATGCAAATAATTCGTAAACACCTTGCACTAATCTGACAGCTCTTCCATTCAAACCCTACCACCAGTTTTAACGGTGTTAGAAGAAGGTAGGGCAATTTGTTTCATCGACCCTCGCCTTAGAAATCTAAATTTGGTATTTACAAACAGGTCACCAGAGTGAGTCGACTAGTATTATATCACTTCCTGGTGGCCTAAAGAACCAATTCATTTCAGTGTCCCGAAACTCTAATTACTACTTCGTAGCACTGTTGTGTTTGGAAAGTCAACCTAAAATTCACCAACTAACTATTCACGACCTTTCTTCTTCAAGCTCACAATCGTGAATTAGAATGGGAACCAAATGACACCATAAAAGACACTATGTGTGAATTTGGATTTAAACGGTGTCTTTCATGGAGTTAGTAGAAAACTGCCATCCGAAAGCTAATTTAAAAAATGTGAACGATCGGAAGAATGTCGTTAATTTTTAATTTTAAAGACTGAGAAATATGCATTTGACAGCCTTTCCAAAAATTCGTTGCGTCATTTAATTGACCCGAAGTGCTTCTAGAACATTGCGAATTCTGCTATTGCCGTACTTTCAATACTGACGTCCATATCAGATCTCCTTTTAATGCGATAACGGAATCATACAATATTCGGAAGGTAAATAAGAGAAATCGCCTCACTGGCCTCGCTTTCAAAAACTTCTTTTCTATGAGGTCTGCTTTGATTTCCACCATTTCAAATTTCCTTCTTAGCAGTTTGACACCTAATGGGCTTGAAAACTTTGCCCAACTTAATTATAAGACGACTTGAAATTGACGCATAATCATTACACTGTCGAAAATGCGCCATCACATAAACTCACTTCAAGTCTGTGCAAATTATTGCACAAGTAAATGACAACGATTTACTGAATAGAGCGAAATGACAATTCAAATAGTTGAGCGTAATGAAGTCACATTGTGTAAGTTAGAAATCTTACTGGCATAAGGAAGGGCATTTTCGAAAATGCCAACGATTAAAGGCTGCGCAACTCTCTTTATCTCTTTCCCCAGGCACACATTTTTGGAGTTATAGAAGACAGAAACCATTGCGGCAAAATGACCTCTAATCTTCCACAATTATGCCTTCCACCACCCTTCCAGGCCCAAGAATTGCTTTCCAATTGACACTCCACACCACTTCTGCAAATATTTCAAAGTCAGAAAATGATGTAGTTCGATGCCTCAACGTAATTATTTCTCCCTAGATCTGCCTTATTATTAGCAGTGGATTGATTAATCAATGCTTTCCATTAGTATCACATTGGATCTAGGTTAGAAAAAAGTCGAACAACTCATGTGAGGAATATTGAATTGCTATGAAACAAAAGATATTGCTTTATTACGAGTACCATTAACTTCGCCGAACAATAAGAACAATTCTCAAAAGAGTCAAAGTGAAAAAACTGTCACGATATCACAGCAGTGGAAGGTGATTCTAATTCTCCTTCTTTGCACCCTCGGGATAAGTGAGCGAAGAGGAGAGATCAAAGTGCGGCATCTTCTCATAGAGCTCTGGTCGGGTTGTTGCGGTCGCGGTGATGCTTCGGGCGCCAGGACCTGAATCTGGTTGGAACACAAAGTCCCACATGACCTACAATTTAGAATTACGTAAATCATTATTGATGGAGCTCTGGCTTAACGAACGCACCAAATATGTGATTTAGAAACCGGGTGAAGTCCACCTCCCCCCACCCGCCGCTTTTTGACTGCACGAACGCCCCAACAAAAATTAGGAAGTGATAAGAGATGGCAGGTGGACGACAACTGATAAACCAACAAGCTGAATAATTGATTGATTGATTGATTGAATGGAAAGAAAGAAAAACTTGAAAAGCATTTATTAGGTAACATGGAAATCAGTATGCAGTTTAATCATGGAAAAAGAAAAATGAAAACTGCATAGAATCAACCATAAAATCGATATTGAATTGGACATAAGTAACAAAGGCAATGCACCAATCTAGAAGACGGCTTCTAAGTTCGTCTCAAGCCGATGCAACTTAATTTCTGAGTGTCCGTAACTACCTCGGATAGATGTCATTATCATCTAATTAACACAGATGTAGGTGTGGAATGCGAGTTTACCATTATGAATACTCCTCCTCCTCCTCCTCATCCTCCTCCTTTTGGACTTATCTTTCTGAAAAGGAAAACGGTCCCTCCCGATAATTGCTACTCAAAGCCACAAATACTACGGCGATTGATCTTAGGGTGAATAGACTGACACTAATTAGCCCTCTTGTTCTATGAACTTGCTTTGAAGGTGTTGGTGAAACAAGCACCAACCCGACAGCTCGATGTCTTTCATCTGTTATGTATAGAACAGGCAATAAAACGCCCAGTTTCCTCAGTTCACTTGGACTGATTTAAGTTGATGTGTTTCTCATAATATTTTCGGTCCTAAATTTAATTGAGGTGGCTTCCATTTTCCGTCTCATAATTAAATTACTGAGTATCAGTGTATTCGCTAATACCACGAGAAACGAAACTGCAATGAAATCTTGCGCATCTTCATCGAAAAGACGTATCAAGTAACTTTTAGTCGTTTAGCAAACAAAACAGCGTGTACCTTAATGACATGGGTTATAAGCTCAATACTGGGGGTTAGTTAGAAGAATTCGGATATTCTAACCGCAAACAAAACACATTTTTAATAATCCACATATATCAAGATTATTGCAACAGAAACTTGGTCTTTATTTTATAACTAACCTTGCAGAGCGATTTGTGGTAGGGCAGATGATTGTAATACTCCGGAGCCATTTCCTTCAGCTTATGGAGCCTAGTGAAAGGAATGTAGGGGAAGTCATGGTGTTCAACATGATATCCGACATTGTAGAGCGGAATATTTAAGATGCCATAGTAGGAGTGGGTTGCAAAATTGTCAGCAAATAGGTAATGCTCACTGATGACATGACCAGCCATTGGATGCGGGCCAAATCCAAAGATTGTACCCATCAGAAGATAAGCGAACGCATAATTTCCAAGCAGGTGCCAAATAATCACATCAAAGGCACTCTGAACAACCAGATTAATAACTTCCCAAGCTGTCAGAGGTCTTGGGGACTTGAAGAACGGTCTCACAGCATAAAAGAATGGATTTAAGAGGATCCAAATAAATCGAAGTGGACGGCTTTGGAAGAGAATACATTCCCAGCGCATTGGAACATCGACGTCCAAATCTTCATGACCTAGCCATCTATAGTAAAGTAAACGCTACTTAAGGCTGTTCAGTAGGGGGCCCTCAAATCCAAGTTTATCTACCTGTGATGTTCGTGGTGGTATTTCTTGTAACTGATTGCTACAGGAATGACCATTGGTAAATTACAGACGATGGAGAGGATGCGATTGGCCCATCCGTGCTTATGTCCGAATGCAAGATTATGTCCAATTTCGTGAATGGCACTTCCTAGGGAATGACTAAGTGTTGCCGAAATGAAATAGCAGCTAATTAGCCAACCAATCCATCCGGGTTGGTAGATGGAGATGAGATATGCAATTCCAAACTGAGCAAGAACTTCCAGAGTTACATAAACAGCAATTATTGGATCCGGACCCATAAGAGTTTTGATTTCCGGATGCTTCTTCAGAATCTCCTGCAAGCAAGATGAAGTTGACAGTAAATCAATTGTTTATGACCAGCAGTAGTGGAAGAACATTCTCGCTGAAATAATTCTTTGTGTATTTGGTCTTGAACTTGCGCCAAACTAAAGAAAACGTCCACTAGGCAGATAGCAACTTAACTAAGAAATTTGAAAAATCTCTTAGACAACCCAGTGTAAAAGTAGGCTTATCTTACTGTAAAATTCTGAACTAAAATCTTATCTCTTGAATTTAACATCTTGCCCATACACCACGAATGCAGTTATCGATAATTTAATTGCATTGTTTTCTCATTTCTTTAAAGATGAAAAAACTGTAATATTTACATCAGGATTCATTATTCAAGTGAGATTGGATTAGATTAATTCAGGGTTACTAATAGCACAGTGACAAATTAAACCAAGAAAACAAGGTATTATTGCTTGAATTTCTCGAAATTAACAATTTCTTTCTTATTCCAGCTTCCACACCCACTTCTCCGAATCGTATTTTCAAAAGAAACAAATTCCTCATTTTTCACTCAATGAGTTTAATGAATGGGTAGTTTATGAGTGACCATGTTTAGGTGACAACTTTTGAGTAGATAAGATTGACTGCAAGGACCAGAGTAAACACATTTGAGTTTTATTGAATTAAGTTAAGTCGTGGACAGACCCAGTAAAATTAAATTGGTTCTGATCGTAGTGGAGGTAATTTCAAGCAAAATTATATGAATTATCTGACGAATATTGAATAACAGACCTCCACAAAGCAAAATTATCTCTACCGAATGCCTCCCCCCCTCTCCACTCCCCACATCCACACCCCAATTCTGTTAAAGCAGGTGTCATTAGTAACCCACTTCGTCCGATCCTTTATTTTTTGTGATCATGTCTTTTGTTTTATACTTTGCTGGAGTCTTGAGCTATTCGTCTTACTAATAATTAAAATGAGAATTGGGCATTCATCTTCTGCTTTTAAACTCTTTAATGTATCCTTCATCGATGTTTAGAAGGATCAGATTGAGTAAAAGAATAGTGTCTAGCTAAACCTAGTCTGAATACCAGCCAACAGGTTGGAAAAATCAATAATTGGTAATTGGGTGAATATGCTAATTAAATTACCAAGGTACGAAGTTATTATCTATTCTCAAATTATTAATCGAATTATTAAAAAAAAGCCCACCCCCTCCTCGCCACCACCAATTTTGCCTCATGACGCCGATGATATTTGGTTGAGAATTTATCTGCCATCATTTTGCGGTTTTTCATTAACTTTGACCATGATGCGGGTAATTGAAAATCCATAAATTTTCATTTATGAGTCAAATTCTCACAATATCCGTTTCTCTTGAGATATTAATGAGGCCTTCGAAATCAAACTTTGTTGGGAGAAATCTACATTCCTATAAGCCGAAATCTCCAAATATATTCAGTATTCATAAGACGGAGGAAAAAGTTGATAAATCCATTAGCAAAAATAGCTTGAATAAGTGAGAGAAATTAGTTTATTTTCTATTACTTCAGAAAGATGTTTCCAGAACGAATTGACGAAAACAGTTTCGTTAACTTACCCACACTGCACCTGGATATTGTAGTAGTGTAGAAAAAATAGCAATCATTTCCCTTTGAATTATTTAAATCTTGTCAAGATAAGAAAACCGTCATATTCCAACAGCATTCGGTGAAATTTCGATGTCGAAACAACTCTAAAGAGCTAGATTGTGCATATATAACTAACCCTGCATTAAGGGAAAATACGTTACTGGAAAAATAAAACTATTCACAAGTGTCACATTTTAGAAGGATTACAACGGTATCAACGTACATCAAATTATAAGTAATTGTTTTTTTTCTATTAAGAGAATAGGACTGAGGATAGCTTGAGCTTGTGGAACACGTTATCGCTCTGTGCGTCATCGTATGCCCGCATGTCTGCTCGCCAGGATTGGGAGGTGGGCCACGCAACTCTGTGTGCAGCGACCGTACAAATCTTAACCCCTCATTAACCTCTGTTTAACCTAATCCCCCATCCTGGTCATGAGTAGCTCCTCGCGTGTACACATTTTATCCCAATATACGTCCTGAATAAACGTGCTCCGTGCTACACGTTTGTTTCCCTTATAGCTGTGCTATAGCTTAGCTGGTTCTGGGAGTCTAGCTAGATGTTGGAGAACCTGCCATAGAGAGTTCTGAGTCAGTCAGACTTTAATAAAGTAGCAATCCGCTACAAGCTTCCAATCAGGATCCATATCACTGACCTTTATTTAAATATCTAATATGAAATTCCGGTGGTCAATATGATGCAAATCTTCCAAGATTCATAGATTAGAGGGAGAGAGGGAGTGATTTGGATCTTACACTTTATTTCCGTCTTGTTAAATGGCCTTGAATTTCTGAAATTTCACACGAGGTGTGGTAGAAAAAAAGAACAGCGATATATATATATATATATATATATATATATATGCGCGTGCATTATAAGAAAGGATTTGACCCGTGAAAATGAACCGATTCATAAGCGATATTGTTCCAAATGCGATAAAAAGAAATACATGATCGGTTTTTCTACATATTTTGCTTACAAAACTAGGTGCATGTCATATTTTTAAATGCGTAGCGGTTACCAAGGCGACGAGTGTCTCTAATACCACTTATCTAATAGTGGGAGGATATCCCTCGGTCCAAAAAAAACAATGAAAAAATACGTGTCCGCGTCGATTAAAGTAGGTTGGCAAGTTGATTATGGAGAGATCGATTCTAAACAGTGAAGATATGAATAAGAAATAAAAATCGAGTGAATTATTGATCTTGTGAATAAAACGCAATAAAACCATGCCAAAATGGCAGATTTTTCCGATGATATAGCCATATAAGTTCAAGTTTTAAATCGAAGTATTTGATGGTCAATGTAAAAAATATTTCCCCCTTTCCGATGCAAGATTTAATCAAAATTGAATAGGTAAAAGTGTACAACTCTATCAAATCTGCTCAAAAGAACCAATGACCTAGACTTCTTAGTTGGGGTGGATGAGGGGGGAGGGGTGGTGGGTGGGTGGTGGTGGGTTTATTATGAATCACGAGTCGCGCATACAGATGTCCCCACAACTGCTGAAATTAACATCCAGTCAGTGTCGAATCAAGTGTTTGAATTAATAAGGTCCCTTCATTTAGCTAAATTTACAGCAATCACCCATCTCTCTCACCCCTCCCCGTTCTCTGCATTATGTGTTCTCGAGAATAATTTTGAGAGCAATGCCATGCTAGAGGTTTATGCCAAGGGCTAGATGTATTGGCTTATATTCATTGTGTACACTTCACAAATAAACCTCAACTTTACCTCGACAACCAACTTTGTCTAACTCCCTTTGCATGAAATAGTTTGTAAATTAGCTAAGCTAACTCAATAGGATCGATGACGCAAAACGCGTGGTGAGCATGTCCTTCAGCGCAACTTATGAGACGCAGACACATAGCTTAGTCCTTAGAATAACACTGCTGGTTAGTGGCCGGTCTGCAGGTCTCTCTACACTCACGACACACCTTTGAGGTGGCCTTTGTTCAACCTAGGTAGCGATGTGAACTCCACAATTCTATTGGACATAAAAGTGAAAAAATGTGACGCCAAAAGCATTTGGAGATCGCCAATTTAAGGTTAGATAAATAAAATATCATTTGCTCCATTGGAGAAGTTTTAACTTTTATGCAGGAATGCTTGATCCAAATTTCCAGGAATTAGTTTAGTTTCCATGATTGCACATTCTATTTTATTTTTAAAAATTCGGTAACTTAATCTATCTGCTTGAAATTTGTTTTGTATTGATGATAAAATGAAGTGAAACATGGAATATGACTGGTTTAATTTATTAAAAATATTAAGAGAAATTGAACGAAATTTTTTTTTATTTCAAATGGCAGGCTTTATGATATTTATCATTAGCCCTTAAGTCTTTGACTTCAGCTTCCCCCAGAGGGGGGGGGTACATTTATAGCAGTTAATTAATAGCAGTTC